CGTGTAAACAACGCTCCTAACGAGAACATTCGCGTAGACAGTACGCCGTGTGAGTTGTGTTGATAGTAACTTCATTGGTAGAAGTGAGAGATTCCACGCGCTTACACGGAAGTCTAAAAACAGCAACACCTTGCTTGCACCTGCACCTGCAAAACTTGCAGTTTACAGCACAACTTGAATCCAAGGACTTGGGGTGGGGTAGCTCGTCCAGTAAAGAGACTAAACTCAGCAATTACTCGGATGTCTGTTTTACTAACAAATTCCAATTGAGTATAAAGTTTTATACAAAAACATTCAACACAAGATCTAATAACAGTCAAAGGGTAAAATCATAATACATGTAAATATTTATACATAAACTATATAGTATGAACTGTACACAAAAACATATAATATGTGGCACAAGACAAATGGCATTTAACAATAGGAAAATTTATATCCACTTTTCTGCTGTCCAACTCAAATTTAATACATTTTCTTCTTCACAAAAATATATGTGATAAAAAGAAATTGAAACTTAGGATACAGAGAAGACACTTTAAAACAATCTCATTGGGTCTATATCACATTTCCCCAAATGCTGAAGATTTCATGCTACAAATAGGAATTTGTTTACAAAGGCAATAGATTTTAGGCTAGATACCAATAAAAACCATCAATGCTCAACAGTTAAAGTCTACTAGCTGAGCTTCGACAATCCTCATTAATTAAAATTATCACCATTCAACACACTTGTGTCATTTCAAAAATGCTACAGAGAATTTATGGAAAATGCTTCCTTCACTACAAAATTAAAAAACGATGAAAAGAAACAACAGTATGAAGTTGAAGTCAGAAATTTTTACAAGGCAATAATAATAACAATGAGGAAGATAATAGAAACAATGTTAATACAAATTAAAGCACTGAAACTAAATGCAAGATAGATAAAAAAAAAAAAGGACTGTGGCAGTAATAGAAATTTCTATATCACAACCTGGCCTTTTTAAAGTTGTAAAATAAATTTCACACGGAAAGAGTTTGGCGGGGACATTTATCTTGACAGTGTAACTAAGTCCAGATGCATACAACCCTACATTCATTTATAACAATATTCACAAAAGTAAAAGATATGTACAATTTTCTAATGAAAATATTGAACCTTTTAGTATCAAAATTAATTAATACATGTCATGTCAACATATCATGCATTACATCTCTTGTGTGTTGTAACAACAACCTTTAAAAAGTATTCATGTACAACTTAAATGAAAAGGAAAAAGAGAAAGATGAGGAAATGACTACTAGATTTTACAAATGCCACAAACTGAGGATGCCTCATATGTACATTAGATTAGATTAGTAGAAATAAAACTAAGAACCATGTGACAGTCAAAACATTACAGAGTAAATAAACTGATTGAGACTATCGATGACTTGAAACACACTTGCATTTGGGTACAGAAAAAGAAGAATATTCAAAACTTACTTAATAAATGGTATTGTATTGGTTAAGATAACGTGATAGAAAGGGGATAGACAGTTACAAATCAAATAAGTAATTTAAGCTTTTAAACAATGATTCCTTGTGGCAGTCCATAAGTGAGATATTCTGGTTCTGTATCGGTTCGACTTTGCATCAACAACTTTCAAGTCGAAGGACATAATATGCGCGACAAATGAAAATCGAAAGAAAAATGAAAAATGAAATAGTTCCTCATTTCTATTGTGATAAATATGAGAAGAGGGAGCATTATAAAGGCACGAACATTGGTGTAAATCTACAAAAAAAAGGTTGCAAGTGTTGCAATGCAGTAACAACTCTAACCCAATTTCAAAAGAATTAAATCTTAATTCGCTCTTAATTCAATCTGAAGTGAGTTTAAAATGTATGAGAAGAAACAACAAAAGTTCCTTCGTACATTAAAAGTGGTTTAAAAAAATTGTCAAAATGGCAAGAAATTGACAATCTGTCGAGAAAACCGGCTCGGGCTCGGTTCAGGCCGCCACAGCATCTGCGCTGAGAAGACATTGCTGATATTAGAAGCCTATTTCACACAGCAAGACACAAGATGGACAGTGACAGAAAACAATCAATAAATAAATGATCTCCTTTAGAATGAAAGTGATAAGCTAGAGTGGCAGGAAACACAACTACCCATTATTGTAAACAATTGAGCGATTGGTCACTTAATGAGCCAAACATGCATTATTGCAGTGTTTAAGGAAAAGCTATGAGTGGAAATTTACAGAAAACACTATCAGGTCAATAGAACACAAAGCATTATTGTAGAGAGATAAAGAACATGACATAGCCCCCAACACAGGTTCCTTAATGTTAAACTATAAGATCATCAAAAAGATGTGGTTTGCAAAAGACAACACTTCATTGATTATATATTTCATTGTTTCCTTAATTATTGTGATGGTCCAAGTACACAGAACATCAAATATTGGCCGGGAGCAAATACAAGAGGAAGCACTCTTTAAGTTAAGAAAATGTGCCAATATTAGATCCAAAATTTGACAATAAATAGAAAACTTTGTAAAATACCCTTGAGAATTGATAATGGTCAAGGAAACAAATTTCCAAAAATATTGATCCACAAAATATAATCTCGTATATAAATAAAAATACTTTGTTTTGTTGAAAGATTTTCAAAAGAAGTGCTTGTTTTAAGTGATAATATCAGTTATTCTGTTATCTGGATATCTAAATATAGTAATAGTTGTACTTTAAAGTGAAACCTAGATAAGTAAAAATTGCTTGAGACCTTGGCCTCAGTATAATGTATCAAGATAGCCTTTTAAAGAAGTATTCTTACTATCCAGGTTTCACTGTACCAACATGGACCTTATATGACCTTAAAAAAACAGCTTTGACTTTTACTGACACCAATTTCATAGACACTAAAGGCACTCACTATAAGAAAGGAGATAGTTTTTGAAAGTACAAAGTGAAATAGAAGAAATATTTCACACTGCACTTTCATATGAATGCGATTACATTTCAAAAACTGCTGCAGGAAGAACTGTTTTCTTATCTAGAGCACACGAAACAGTACCCAGGTTAATTATATGATATGTTTAGGACCTGAGCAAAATAGCAAAAGCCAAAGGTACTTGGGACACAAGTTGACAAAAAGCATCAAAATCTTTGTTACACATGGTACACTTAGTCATATGGCTGTAACAACAAAATTCTCTTGTGCCATTAAGAAGAGAAAATTGATTTAAGAAATCTGAAATTATTTGGTATACTTAGATTAAAAAAATACAAACCATGAAAGACGGCATCTAAATGTTACGATTAAAGTCCGTTAGTCGGCTAATATCGACATTAACCGGCTAATGTCGACTTTAACCGGCTAAAGGTAACACTAACCGCGCGCCGCAGCTAAAGTCGTCCGAGGGTCGGAATGCACTATTCACTGGGGACATTAGCCGGCCATTGTCGACATCAACACGCCAAATTTAGGAGAGACCGGCTCAAGTCAACTCTAGCAGGAGGGCCGCGGCTTATGTTGATATGGTGATTAGAGTGGTGATTTGACAGCCTGTAGGGGAAAGAGGGAGAAGTGTTTGCGTCCATATGCACACACCTCCTCCGTGGAAGGGCCAGCCTGCCTGCATGATAGTAGGCCCTATGCTGCCTGAACCACACACACACAATTTGTCCTCCCATCTTCTGTATGCAACTTTACGATCATGTTCAAAGGCATCACTAGGCATATAAGAGAAAAGAATGATGCATCAAAATATTTCCTACTTACATTGAGCTTAGTAGCCAGAACTAGAAAAAAAAAATTTTAAAAATGAAATCACAGTGAGTAGACCGAAATCCAAAATACACAGGACAGATAGATGACTTCAAGTATGGCTTCCATGATCAGGCTCACTCTTCCACACACTGCAACTACATATCACCCAAAATCTGTATCACCACATGAGCATGTATGACATATAAGGGTTCAAACACTTACTGTTGTGTCAGTTAACCTCAGAGGTGGTACATAATCTAGATAACAAGTGACTAATATTGTTCAGTGCTCTTAATAACTAGTGGTCATCCATTTTTTCTGTTTTCTTTTTCTTCTTTTCTGCCTCTGCTTCTAATCTGGTTTGGTTGAAGGCCTCAGTTTTGATGAAATCAACAGTTTTGTAAACTGTATGGGTTGGTGGTCCCTTTTCTGGAGACTTGGGAGCAGGGTGAAGACTAATTCCTGCAAAACCTGAACAAGACATACAGGGAGAGAAAATCATGACAAAGATAAGAAGCAATAAGTTTAAGGAGAAAAATAAACAAAATTGCAGACAAGATATTTACCAGTTGATATAGAGGGGCAGGGAAGACTGGCATTTTTGCTGTCTTGCTCTAGATCTAAGTCAAGGTACTTAATCTCCTTATTTCCAGGAGACAGAAACCGGAGGTCAGGGCCATATGAGATGTAGAACTAGATTAGGTAAAAAACAGAACATTAGATTAGAAATTGTGATTCTATTATAATTGTAGTAATATTACAGTTCATAATTGGATATCTTGTTTACTTGGTCCTCCTCGGGTGAGTGCCGAGGGTCGTCATCTGAACTAGAATAGTGCTCAGCTCTTGTCCGGGGGCCATTCCGCAAAGTTGAAGGGGCAGATCCCGGTGGTTGAGGTGGTGTAGGGCTTGGACCTGTCCTAGTTTTGCGCAGACTGCGAGAGCCATCTTGACGCTTATTTGGTGGAGCACATAGTTTAAGAAAGCCTGAAAATACAATCATAGCAATTGTTAGATATTATATACATTTTAGCTCAGCAAGTACGTTCAGTACACAAGATCCCCCTCCCCCAAAAGGGGTACCCATGTGAAGCAGTAGTGGAATTTCATAGGTTTGAAGGTAAGCAGTACTAACTTGTATCATTTGTGTGACTTCTTGGTTTCAGTTTACGGTCCACACTGGGCGGACCAACGCCATGTTGACTCAACGGGCTTGGTGAGGGTTCATTGGATGCAGCAGAATCAGAGGTTTTGCGTCTAGGTTTGAGACCTCGGTCAACAGCTGGTGGGGTGGGTATTCCACCAGAGGGGAGAATATGGGGACTGGGAAGATTGGAATATTGAGTAGCAGATGTGACAGAAGAGCTCTCTGATCTAGGAGATGTGGGTTCATCATCTTGGAGACCAGATACATTAACTGAGTTGACAGGCATCTGGCCATCTGTTTGTTGAAAGTCATATCTGAATACAGTCCCATCTCCATTCACCTGATAAAATAAACATTAGATAAGATAAATGTAAGTCATAATAAAAAAGTGTACAATTTAACAACAATGCTACATGAGCTAGTTTTACCTGTGCAGGTGCAGCATTTGTGTAACAATGTCTATTCATGACAAGTGGTCGAGTATTGTCAAGAGTATCAGCATATTGATGCGATCGAGGAAAATCATACATATCATCAGTGACAACAGCACTGCCAGGAACAGCAGATGGTCCATCCAAAGGAGTTGAAGTAGCTATTAGTGGAGAAGGAGGTTCTGAACTTGAGGCACTTTCAATCTTCTGTTTGTCTAAGGCATCAGCACTATGACTTGCTGGAGACACACTTTCAATATTTAAATAATTGTGCCCAGGTGGTGGTGGTTCTAATAACAAGTGTGATGGTTTTGGAGGCCTTGGGGGAGGAGGTGCATTATTTCTTATAAGACTGGTTTTAGGATCACCGGCCTAAAAAAGTTAGATTAGATTACACAACAGAATATCACAACAATGTTGCCTTCAATAATTATTTAAAAACTCACTTGAAACTTATTTGGGATTCGATTCAATGTATTCCAGGTTCCAGCATCTGCACTAAAATCTAAATCAACCGAGCTGTCTGATGGACGCACATTTGGACCCTGCTCACCTTCACTGGACGGGAAAGTTTCCCAATTCACAACAGGTCTCTGACTATGAGCAGTTCCGGATGGACCCAAGTTACTGCCGGGACCAGTCCATTCTTCATCCGTGAAAACACTGCTCTCAGCATCTGTTCCGGGGCTCTGGCAATAACATAGAAATTTGTCATTTTCAGAAAAGGATGTACGTTGGGATCAAAATAAGTTTGGGGTTCAGAAACGACTGGACAAAACACGCAGTTTCATTACAATTCTTTCAATTTACCTTTTGAGCATCCCAATCTCCTTGAGTGGATCTCCTGTCGCTTGATCTGAGGTCTCCTGATATCAGATCAAAAGCATGAGGAGGCCTTAATTGTCTAGGTGAGTCATAGAACTCATCACAAATAGCTCCAGCCCCTGAGGGACCACTAGGGCATGCACTGATATTGTTGTTGGTCACTGGCTCTGACCGTTTCATGGGGAGCAAGTGAGGAGGCACTCTGTGGAACTGGGAACTAGGTCTATAGACTTGGGTTGGTAATGATAGACCGGAGGTACTCGTCAACGGTGGACCCGAAAAACACTCGCTGATCGGGATGTACGCTGAAGTTGTGCTGGACGGGGAAACTGGAGGGGATTCCAAGTCATGCTCAGTGATAACTGTTGTCGGAGTGGATGGTTCTTCTCCAGCACCACTGTAGGTGTATGCTGAAAAAAAAGTACACTGAAATGTTACGGATGACTCAAGTGACCAAAAGATGACTTTAAAAAGAATAACATACCATCTTCCTCAGGTGTGTATGCTTTCAACCCACACACATGGCAAACATTGTGCACCCATTTCATCATTTCGTCTTCAGTGTCTGCAGCAAGATAGTATATTCTTTTGGGAGTCCGCACATCAAACATGTGTTGATATTTGTTTTTACTGTTTTCAAACTGAAGACCAGTATCCACCTTAAAAGAAAAAGTACAAAAACATTAATTGCTACTCATGATTGACAGAAATACATGAATATATTTAATATGGACGCACCTGTTCACATTCATCAAGATCGATTTGTCCCTTCAACTTCCTAAGAGACTTGTCAGTATAATAGCAAAGAAAATATTGTCCAGGCAATTCCCCTGATTGCCTCAGAACAAACCACCTTTTCCGCCACCTCTGAAACATGAAAATTAGAAAATATAGAAGAGTGAGCAGCAACACAATACTCAAGGTCGACAAAGAGAATTTATACATAGTTTACGAGAAATACAAACACGAACACAAATACCATGAGAAAAAAGTCTGCTCATTCATTCTAAAACCGATTTTAATTTAAATAATGGAAGGCTACACAGTATGAAACAGGGAATTTGATAGCTAACCTAATCAAACACAATACCCCCTTTTTTTTAAGTAGGGAGGTATACCTAACCTGGAAGCAGAGAAGCAACAGGCTGCACTGAATTTATAGGAGCCAGTCCTACATGATTCAAGGGTTTACTCAAAAAAACTGGTGATGGTAGGACGTTGATGATTCACATTTTCAAGCTTGTACCAGTGTTTGTTATGATAAGTAGATAGGCCTAGGCGATTGTATTTGACTCACCGCACGAAATATCCGTTTCGCTGGAGGCGACTTTATGAGCCACCCTTCGTGGACGACTTCGGGCCCGTTATTCATGTCCGACAACCGTTGGGTTCATGTGAACAACGACATTAGGTCTACAAATAAAATCACTTTAACACAACAGAACTGTTTTCCAATCAGCCATTTTGAATTCCTACTGAAGTTTCTGTTTCTAAGCCCCTTCACCCCTCTTCCCACTTCACCCCTTCACCCTTCAACCAACCCTTCAAATTTTTGACGATACTTTCATATTAACATTCGGATGCGGACACAACAGTATCGTGGGATATCCCAGCATCAACACGCTTGAAGCGTAATTTTACATTCTGAGGGCATATGAACAGAAATATAAAACAGTGATTTTTCCCATTCATTATCTGTTTGGTAAATGACAGGTGCAGGTAGATGATTGAGAGCAGATAACCAGTCTGTAGCCAATGTCCTGCAATGAATTTGTCATACTAGCCTCGCTTATTCAATCTGTTCTCACAACCAATCACAAAGCGGTATTCTGTCCTTACTTTCGGTTTAGAACTTTTTACTTTTCTTGAAGGCGTTGAGTCAGCGCAAAACAAGTAAACAGGTTAACATTTCATTCATTACCCTCATCCAAAATAGAAAGTTTTGTTGGTGCAACCTACGACATCATTATTCGTGTTAATCTAAAGGATTACCACTGAAGGGTAATCATACATGAATTATTCTTTGCTAGGCTAGTTGACGCCATACCTGTTGTTCTTAGTCAAATAGCCCCCATGTGCTCTCTCCTTTCATGTCCTCTTTACTCCCTGTTGCAATCCAGCTTATGTTAATGTTACATTTCATCCCTTGTTTAGGTTTACAATGCGTCCGCGTAGGAAGCCTGCATCAGCTCCACTCCCCGTTCCTGATAGCTCGAACAGTGCAGCAATGGATGGTGATACTGAAGAAATGAGTGATGTAAATGAGTCAAGTGGAGACCAAAATGTTGATGATCAGATTCATTCAACCGATACTCATTCATCAGTCAATGATGATGACAATGATGATAATGATGGTGACGATGATGATGATGGTGAAGAAGACAATGATTCTGACGAGAGCTCTGATCTTGTGGACTCAGATAGTGATTCTGACGACATGCACGCTATGCTTGATTACTCCTCAGATGAAGCCTTAGACAACACAGAAGGTGAGTGTTCCTCTGCAAATACTGTGAGGAATTTTTTGTTTGACAGGATATCTGATTGGTATGAGACAAGATTTTTATCATTGTGGGGATTCCTAGAGTTTCATTTAAGCACCGTTCATTTGCTATTTTTAACTATTTCCCACAAAATTGAAGACATTCTGGGGAAAATAATCAAATCTTATTCATTGAACACAATTCCAGAATATACTAAAGCTTTGTCTGATACAAATCACTATTCTGTTTTCCAAGTGGACAGTTATGAGATGTTACTGTAATGAGGGCCCTTGCCATTTTATTGATTATGTGGAAGAATTCAAGACTTACCATATTTTTGTCAAAGTGACAATGAAACTTTTCATTATTTTCTCCTACAGAAGCTGCTATGCAGGTGTCATCTTTACTCATCCAATCAGAATTGGAAGAAGTGCACCAGTTTCTAAATCTTGTTTCCCATGCTCTTGAGGTTATTTCATCTCACGTTTTGCTAAGATCCATGCCTACTGGCCGAATGACATCTGCTTTAGAGGACTTGCAAAACATAGTATCCCACCTATTAACAATTCGATCAGGGGAGCGAGAAGAGTGATATGGTTTACAGTACATTCCACATCCTGTGATATGTCTTGATAGTGTCCTCTTTTATCTTATTTCTATATTTCAACAAAGTTTTATATTTCTACTTTTAAGTTTAGTAACCCCTTTTGTGCAATCCTAATATTTTTGATTTAGATACATTGAATTCTTAAAAATATTTTTAGGGATTTCATGTCCTTCTTCCCTTTCCTCTCAAACTTGTCCAAAACAGTTCAATTGAAAAAAAAGTTGAACTTAAAAGAAATCTTTAAACACTACATTTCATCGAAGAATAGAAGACTGTCTTAGTGTGTTTTTGTGTACTTATGTTAAGCCAAATTCCCTGTTGCCATCTCAGGTGCTTACTTTCTTTAGTGCGTAAGGTGTCTGTGATATAAGATTAAACAATGTACTCACAGTTCTATCTTGGTCTCTCAGAGTGTAGGTTTGATTTATAACTTAAGAAATATATGTTTATGATAGGCCGCATTTCTTAAATGTAGTGTAGTTCACTTTTCAGGAAAATATATCTTAATGTTTCACTGTCTAGAGTCTAAAATTTCCTACTTTGAAATCCCTTATTTCAAATAATTGTAGGAAATAAATAATTAGGACAAGCTAAAATTTAAAGTTAATTTGAGAATCTATAATTGACATGTTTGAAACACTTGTTTTAACATCTGTACAGAATTACTTTTCATTTCCATGCAGTGAGCATTTTTCTCCCCTTCTCTTGAGTTTGTGGCTTTGTTTGATTTCTGTAACATTCTTTGCAGAGTTCTGTTTTGTTAGATTCCAGCTGTCATTGTAATTATTTTTTTCATTAAGTACTTTACTATTTTCCATTAAATATTTTGTTTTGGTAAAAATGAAAACTGTGATTATTCTTTGAAACTAGAAAACCTTGACTCATTTCCTACTAGTATCACCTGCCTTTATTCATTTCCAGTCTTTCCCTATTTAATGATTGAAAAAAAATAATAATTAAATTATCACTGTTACCTCACGAAATATAGGCCCTAATTCTTTCCCCTTTAATGCCTCAAAATTTTGGACAGTTGATCATTGACGGTTTAATACTTACAGCTATACCAGTGCCACTACCTGATGAGTTAGCTGAGCTAGCTGCAGGTCGTGATGATGGAGAAGGAAATGGAGATGATGATGATGTAGTGCAAGCAATATTACGTGCTCGCGAGAAACATCGCAACCATCCTCCAGCGATTGAATGTGAGGATGGTGTTTCATCCCTTTCATTCCACCCTGAGGAGCAGCTCATTGCTATAGGAACTTTCACTGGAGACGTTCTAGTGTAAGTTTATAAAAATAATAGTGCACTTGCTGTCCACCACATTGTTTTATATAGATCAACAATGAAACTCTATGTTATGGTTTGAAATTCATGTTTCAGATATGGATACTCAGATGAGGCATGTGAACTCAAATATACTCATGAACTACATATGAAATCAATTCGTGATGTTGAATTCAGTAAAGATGGCAAGAGCCTAATATCCTGCTCCAAAGACAAGTCTATCTTAATGGCTGATGCTGAAACAGGGAAGCTCACCCAACTTTGGGATCAAGCTCATACGTAAGTTTATCATGGCTTCTGATCTGTATCTTTTTTGACAGCTCTTTACACCTATATGCTAAACTTCCTCACAGATCTCCAGTTCACACTTTATACATTCTTGATGAGAATCGATTTTGTTCAGGTTGTGAAGAAGGCTATGTAAAATGTAAGTATTACTTTGAAACTCTCATGGTAATCTTTAAATTTGAGTGCTATTTATCTCAATAATCAGAAGTGGTAACTACTGTAAATTGGCTTTCATCTTAACAGTATGGGACAAACGCAAGAAAGATTCAATTTTCTCTCTTAGAGCAATGGAAGATATTGTTACTGCAATGGTTTCTACTCCTCAAAATAAGCATTTAGCTGTTGCTTGTGGAGGAACAATTACTTCAATCAATTTAAATGCTCGAAAAATTCAAGTTCAAGTAGGAAACTTAATTTATCTGTCTCTGTATGAGTGAGAGCATTCTCAAACCCTAACCTTCGTTTCTTTTCCCAGTCTGAAGAGTATGAACATGATTTTACATGTCTTGGACTTTTCCGCCATGATTCAAAATTATTAGCTGGTTCATCTAAAGGCACTATGTACGTGTTTAATTGGGGAGAGTTTGGACTTCATTGTGAGGAGTTCACTGGATCCAAACAGCCTGTGACCTGCTTATTACCTGTAACAGAAACTGTGGCTGTTACTGGTTGGGAAGACGGTAAACTTAGGTAAGTGACCCTTCCTACCTAATCAAGTATGTGCATCCTTTTCAAATCGGTTTGAATGAACTGTTGATTGTGATAACTGCTTTGAATTTGTCATTTGTTAGAGCTACTCACCTGTTCCCTCACCAACCGCTTGGAATAGTAGGACAGCATGACTTTGAAGTGGAATGCTTAGACATTTCTAATGATGGCACTCTGGTAGCATCAGCAGCTGCAGCTGGAGGTCATATCAAATTTTGGAACATTAAATATATTGAGGAAGTAAAAATATCTTGCCAGAAGAAGAAGAAGAGGAAATCAGAACTAAATTTACCTTCATCTACTGTACGCAATAGGGGAGACTTTTTTTCTGGACTTGCAGGACCCAGTTAATCAACTAATTTATGCTATAAAATGTTGTGATGTTTTCTTAATTAATAAAATTCCTATGTACAATCCAAGTTTTTCAGTGTGTATGTTTCCCTAACCAGTACTGTCGTAGAACATTTGATGCACATAGGTGTTGTGGATGAATGAAAATACATATACAGAGAATTATATGACATTAAAATAAATATATTCATATAATAACCTTATACAACACATATACAAATTTTTCACAGTATAAAACCATACACAGGTTTTAATATTTACATATTTTCAAATATGGTCACAGCCATGACTGTACAACAACTTAGGTCTGACAAAATAAACACTTGACTGCTACCATAAAAAATAGAAACAAGGACGACCAGGATAATTATTTATTTTCCTGAAATGTCTCTAAAATGGACTAGTTTACCTGCACCACAACTAGGTGGCATTGCAAATTTCAGCTTCAACATTAACAACATGGTTGAGGCAAGATGACACAGAGCAAATCTAGAATCCCTTAAGATTCAAAAAAAAATAAAAAAAAATAGTAGTAAAACAAAATAAAAAATACCATCACTGGCCCATAGAAATCAACTAATAGATCATAGAAACAAACAATAAATATAAACAAACAAGAACACTTCAAAATAATCAAATTAGCCACTTTGACAGCTTCCTGGAAGACATCAGACCACAGTTAACAGCACAATCACAGACATCCCACTAAGAGGAATACCAGCACCCAGAAACTTTTCACAATGATTACATGCTATTCTTTTATAATTCCAAAGTCACTGTAAATTGCCCCACACCTCTATTAGAAGTATGTATTGGTTATGGTGAAAAGAAACTATTCAAACTCAGATTGACAGATTAAGGATATGTGTAGATGATACAAATGATAAGGCAAATGTCAAATGTATTACCTACATATGAAGAAAAGATTCAAAGTGCATGTCAATATAAAGCTTTTTCACCAGAATTACATACGTATTTACTAAGGCTGAAGTAAAGAGAACTAATGATATCTTCTTGAGAAAGGCATTCTCAAGATCTATAAATTTATCTGAGAAATGGCTTTCAATAATTTTCAGAGCACTTCTGTACTACATTAATTTAGCTTTGCCACACAGTGAATAAAAATAAAGTGTATTATGTTAGGATTTGTAAGAGATGGAACTCATTGTTTTTCACAAAATACACTAATGATTTGTGAGCAAACTTAACTGGATAGTATATTACCAAAACTCCCTCATTTTTTTTTCCTCGTACTACACATTCCAATAACGGTCACAAAACAAATTTGCCAGTCATTACAATTCAACACTCAATGCCAAAGTGACATAAAACACAGAGTGGTTAGAGCCACTTTACACATCCAGTCAAAATATTTAAAAAATAGTAGATAGTCCTGAAAAAATAGATTTGATGACAGTACAGCAATGCTGCTCAGAAACATCAACAATAACAACAGTAACAATGCACTGGATGAAACAATAGTAATTGGCTTATAAGAACAATATATTATGAATTAGAGTCCATTATGGTAAGTAACATGCCCTTCATTAAATATTTTGTAATGAACAGAGAGATCCGCACAGATATAGTATATGTATAACATGTTTTCAAGCTTGATCAATTCAACAAATATAAAATTCATGGCATGTCAATGACATTGTCAACAGCCTTAACTGTAAAGTTAAGTAAGATTACACTTAACGATGAACACAGAAAATACCCAAGATTGTAGATGGAAATTAGGTTTTCCATAGCAATGAACACCACAGGTACTTACTAACAACATTGTCAAAAAACTAACAATGCTCAAGTAGACTCATTTTCTTAAAAGAAAGACAGAATTAATTTGTTTTAAGTGTATTTTACAAGCCAAGCCATTGAATAGCAATTTTATATTTGTGTGTCACACAAGAACATTTAAGAGAGAGAAAGTCTACTTAAGACTCTCAAAGTCCACAGTTCAAATGTATGGAACGTTCACCCAGACTAACTAAAAATTTGTAATTTTATCTTTGCTGAGACAGGTGCCTCATTCTTTTGAAAGGAAAAGGCCATTGTCCGGTGAAGATTAGAACTTTATCAAACTAAAACTGATTCCATTTGTTTCAAATATAATGACGCAGATTAGAGCCCTAATTAGTCTCATCTAGGACTCTTAAAGGAGATATAAAGACGCCTGGCTGCCTCACACCTTGAGTACACAATTGATTGAGCTGATTTTTTTAAAACATAAATAAAGGTGGCATGCATTGCTTAGAGAATACCTAAGAACATAAATATTAGATATTGAACACAAAGGTGACATAAGAAGACCTGTTCATTAATATAAAACTAGCTCCACATATGAAGAAAATTTTAAGAAATCCATTATGCCCAGCTAAGTAAATATTCTCCTTTTAAGGAAAACCTTAAGAATACTTTAGAGGGCATATTGTTTGGTGGTAATATCAGAATACGGTACATTTGAGACAGTACTTGAACTTTCAATCTGAAAAGCAACAATTACATGTATTCCTTAATAAAAGACAACAGTTTAAGGAAGCTTACAGGGAAAGTATTTAACGTCAAGAAATTAGAACAGAACCTTTGTCAGTCTCCCTACCTAGATATTTAAGAAACCAAAAGACTTTTTCATTATGGAAATCTAAGGAAACCGCACATCAAGAAGGGAGAAATAGAACTGTCTTCAAACCTAATCCGAAGCACAGTTGAAATTTAGTGTCTTAAGAGAAAGTAGTTTCCGAAGAAGAATCACATTACTTTGGCAGTCGTTCAGTAGCAAAACAGAGTGGAAGACTCATATTTAGTCCTAAAAGAGACTACACAATACAGGTCCTATTTAAATGTTACTCCAAGCACAAAATGTGTCATCATTTAGGTCTTCTGTTATTGATTTTTTTTTTTATCAATTTTCAAAATTGAGTGTTGATTTAATAATAAAAAGCTTCTTCACTTAAGTGCTTTAGTATTCATCAGTGCTTCAAAAAACACAGTTCTTCAAAGAAAAGTCATTAGAATCACACATTTGCTATATTAGAACTAATATTACTCAGTGGCCCCACACAATGTGTAGAGGATAAAAATGAGTCTTGAAAGGATTCTACACTGGGGATCGTTGAACTGTTCTAATGCCAACTTTCTCAGCAAAATTGCCTAAAATACTGCTCAAACCAGAGTCTGAATTTTTAAGATTAAAGCCTATTGTTGAGAAATAGGCATTATAAAAAAGTGTACGCACTTTCTCTAGTCTTTCTTGTCTCCTGAAAAAAAGGAATAAAAGCAAGAATGACTACAAGTCAAAAAAAAACAAAACAAACACAATTTCGGTTCCTAATCTAATACTCACATTTCTGCAGCAGTAGGTTGTCTACTATTGATGAAGCAGTCATCTTCAGTAACAGTGCAACTTGATTCTGCTGAAACCTGACTGTCAGCCCTGAAAATGAATTTATGTTATTAAGAGTATCTACGAAATAATTGTTAAAAAAAGATATATAAATCAAAGAAATATTGCACAGGTGAAACTGTTTTTTCTTGAACCAAAACATGCTTACATGTCAGCGTTATAGCTACTGTGTGAATGCACAGACCGAGGTGTGATAGAGCCACTGTTTGATGCAGTTGACGCTGACCCCCTCAAACTCCCAGTACCAGAGATAAGCTGCCAACTAAAATTAAACAATTAGTAAGATGTATGTAAACTAAAATACAACAAATATCACAAGTAAGGTTACAGACATACCTTCCTACACTAAGAGACCCACTAGATTCTTGACGCTGACGAAGTCTACTAGGTACAGGAACTGCCACAGGACTTGTCCTACTACTTGATGGATGAGGTGACCTTGGCGTAGAGGGGGAAGGGGAAGGAGAGGAGGAGGGTCCCAACTGAGGTCCAGCAGGGTTGTTAGGGCCTTGTATTCCTTGGGAAACTTGGTGACCTGGGGGGGCTGAAGGAATCTGATGGCTTAGGGGACCTCCATCAACCATTGATGACCAGTGCTGGTTAGAATATCTGGTCAGAGGAAAATCATGGTACAAATTAGGGCCTATTGCAAAATTAGTTCTGAAAATAATAATGAAAAACAACATACCCTTCATCACATCCACCCAAGTGGAAAACAGCAGGTGGATTATTATCTGCACTACACCAACTATTCAAACTGACATTAGAACCGCTTAAGGATAAACAATCAAGATGTGGCTCACTATCAGTACTCTGCCTTAGTCTTGACCTGTTTTTGTTGGGGTGATCAAAACAGATTTTTAAAAAAATCTCAAGTGAACAGTGACAAAAACAAAATAAGTTTTACTATTTACCTTGAAACTACACTGAACTCATCACTAGTTATATGTTTAAGGAAGTAAAAACAGAAAAAAAATATTTCTTCTCCCTTATCAAGACGATCCTCAAGATTGTGACCAAACAGCAGCCAATCATACGCTACAGTAAGATACAAAATTTGAGCAGGTCCAAGAGAGCGATGTGCTTGCCCATCAGCCCAGAGAGATAATCTGAGCAAAGAGACGAATAGAGGGGTTCTATCCCAGCCAGAAATGCAGTGGACTAGAAGGCCTGAGCTCTGCTCAGATAAGTAATGAAGGAGAAGGCGGATGTAATTTTGAGTTAATTTTATCAGATCCCATTGCTGCAAAAATTTGTCTAGTTAAACATCGTTTTAAAGACAAGATTCAAAACACCTAAAATACTGAAAAGGAATTAACAAACCTTATATCTGTCCCATTTGATAGCTAGTTGATTGGGGAGAGGATCTTCTGGAACCACAATGCTAGCATCTACATGGGCCTGTCCCCAATCAAACACAAGGTCCTGAGCCTGATAATTGTTGTCTCTGTACTGTCGGAAGAATTCACAACCTGGGTAAGGTAGTGAAACAATAGTAAACTCTGAGTAGCGATTTTCCTTATCCACTTTTTCGGATGATGTGACACTGAAAAGAAGACAAGAAAAGTCCAGATAGACATACATTACATAATAAGAAGTAATTTGTGCCAACATACAACAAGCACAGTAAAAAAATCTGGTTGCTTGGCAGATGATTAATAAGGGTACATACTTGACTCCAAATTTAACTTTCTTTTTCTCTAGCATGAGGTCCACTATTGTACCAACATTAAACAGCTTGAGAAGTCTTATGTCTTGACTTCGCACTCGATCAAACAGTTGCCAATCTCCTGATGAAGGTGGCCTCTCATCTATATCCTCCTCAAGTTTCGGTTCTTTCTCATCAGATTGAGTATCACTTCCAGAAAAGAGATAATCAAGCCCTGAGCGCCCATAAATTTCTGGACCTCCGGACAGTGTAGCAGACCTAACCAACAAAGGAAATAAACATAAGCAAGAAAATCATAACGCTTCTAGTGAGAATTATGATGAGAAATAAAAACAATAATGTATAGTTTACAAAAATATTTACCGGCAAATGTGCTTTCCCTGGTACAAGATGACAGGGAGGGGAAATCTGGCACGACATCTAGCAAGTCTTGCTTTACTTATTAAATCACGGAGCTTGTTTGATTCAGTAAAAGACTCTGAGGAACTTTCATAAATAGTGCCACTTTGACGATGTCTCCCATCTTGTCGATTAATAATACGTTCCCTCTCCAAGACAATCAAACTACTTGGATAATGGGCACTCAATTCCCCACCAGTATTATTTACAACCTACAAAAGAAATTGATACAGATGCAACTAATAAAAAAAAATGATTTTCAATGGAATACATAACTAGCTAGTACTTACTGAAATATCATAATCAATTGAAATTAAATCAATACATCGTTGCATTATATCCTGCCCCTGTAGAAACACAAGCAGAAGATTAAGGACTGCTATAGTGACGATTCTGATAAAATACTTCTCAATTATGGTTTAGTGAGGCTAAAACACACTCGAAACTCAACAATGAAAATTGTAGGAAAGGAAAAACCAAAAGACCTTGCTCCAGGATGTAGAGGAAAAGTGGCACCGGGACCACGCTATCCTCGTGACAACAAATTAAATAAGACGAGCTAAGTGACAATGCTATTAAACTTTAATCCAACTGCCATGAGTTGCCGATCGTAATTATAAGCACCACACAACAATGAACTTGACAGGTGAGGAAATCACAGGGTGTTTACATGCGATAAGGTTATGAATCGCCCTTTCTCTTCCCCTTGCCACCCTGTCTGCAAAGCAATTTCACCTACGACAAATCGCACCTGTTTATCCGTTTCCTTGGCTTTGTAAGTATTTTTGGCAAAATACTCAAGGAGCTGATTTATGTCCTGAAGCTTTATGTCATCCATTTCAACAAATAAATAGTAACCTCCGCGTAAACTGAGTATCCCAGGCGCTGAAAACAAGTATACACATGGCAAATAAGATTCGCCAGCTTCGGAACTTTAATTTTGATTCACATTCACACACACACAAATAAAAGCAGGACCGAGGCTCTCCGACGTATGAGAAATATGTGAGGGTAAAATGGGTCCACTGTTTTGAATTTTGTGAGGGAATCACCTGAAACAGGTCCAAAAAAGGATTTTAAAGAATACTTTTTTTCCCTGGAATGACTTTGCTGCGTCGATTCATTGCCGTGCAATTAACTTCCAGAACGCCTATTATGTCTCGACCGCTGAGTACAACAACTGTGAGTTTTGTTTTATGTAATGCTGTGTCATTTTGTGACCTCGTGCTTGTTACCGGATGGGTCATAAAAAGTAGATGTATATGCATATATAATTCTTATGTATTTAAAGTTGCTCTATTTTCTCCTTTGTATAGATGTTCCACCACAATAAGGAGCTTGGCGTAGAACGTTATGATGGACAGGAAGTCGATTTAGTTGAAATTAAGGAATGGCTCTCACAATATGAGGGAGGAAGTGTTGCACTTGAGACTAATGAAGCTACTGGTGTTGCAGAAATAATTTTGTGTCACCCAAAGAAAAAGAATGCTTTGAGTGGTAAGTCTTGATTTAACACTTTTATTTATAGCGCTCATGTAATTAAATTTTATGTGTATAAATTTTGCGGTTCACATTACAGGAATAATGATGGTTCAGTTGGGCGATATTATTGAAAAGCTGGAGAAATGGTCAAATGGAAAAGGCATTCTTGTTAGAGGTGATGGTAGTATGCTGTGTTCAGGAGGAGATCTTGACTTTGCCAGAGCGTCAGCTGGTGCTGAAGGTGGTTTTAAAATGTCATGTTACATGCACAATATTTTGAGCAGACTGAAAGCCTTACCAATGGTCAGCATGGCTCTCATTCATGGACAAGGTTGCAATTCTACATTCTTGCCTTTATTTTAGTAAGGGTTCATAAACTTTTTCGGCAAAGTATTTATTGTAACCATGTTTTCTTTTCAATCAGGCGCAATTGGTGGGGGTGCTGAAATTGCAACAGCATGTGACTGGAGATTAATGACAAGCACATGCCGTGGTATTGGTTTTGTTCATACCCGTATGGGTATCGTACCTGCATGGGGAGCAACTTCTCGACTCGCAACCATTCTTGGGTCTCGCATGGCTCTTGACTTGATATCCTCTAGCAGAATTGTTTCACCAGAAGAATCTCTTAAGATAGGTTTGATTGATGCCATTGTAAGTTATCAGATTTATGGCTTTTCTAAAGTTTATATTGCCCTTGATAGAAAGTTTAAAGTTCATATGAATTTTGTGTTTAGGTGGATGCGGGACCCGAAGGTAATGGTCTTAATGATGCTTCACTATGGCTCTCAAATCATATTCAGGCTGATCCACAAGTAATTCGTGCTGCCAAGCTCACCTTGACCCATTATGACAACTCTGTGGGCTTTACTCAAGTTTTGGAAGAGGAAAGAAGACTGTTTGCACCATTATGGGGGGGACCAGCAAATCAGCATGCTCTTAACAGTCGTATTAAACATTTAAAATAACTACAAAACATGGTAAATCACAAATATACTTAAAATATTACTCTTTAAACTCAATTTGTTAATTTTTCACTTTCTTTTGTTATAACTGTGTAGTTATCAATCTGTTGCTTCAGGTATCAGTCTGTCATTCACAATCAAGGAGTGTACAATACCTTCACGTCTGTTACCACTACTGACAGCTTTTATAATCGCTGGCCAGCTCCCTAAGGTGAAGTGTGTCTCCGTCCCATCTTCCACAAACTCCCCCTGAAACAGGAGTAATTTGGAACATCACTCAAATTTGTTACATTTCTTGAATTTTGGGGAAATTGGAAGATTTCACAAATCTAACTGTGCCTTGAAAATTTTTTGGAGAAGACAGCAGGTTTCATACATCTGAATGTGCCTTGAAGAATTATACTTACAGTTGCTTCCAGTTTCTGTCCATTAGCCCAAATGTCAAGAGTGTCCTTTTCTGAAAAAACAATACAAGAAAAAACATAGGAAATGGAAATTTTGATCTCAAATATCCATTATGAAAAGTTAAAATGTGAAAAAAAAAAAAAGTTCTACATGCATCTGCCCCCTTCCAGCCCCGGGTTTGCCTGATCTGGCCTTACGGATGACGTTTTCAACTTGGTCTTACCGAGCACGACTCTGTACTGTTCATCTGAAGGTAGGTTCACTAGCCATGTCCGCATAGCACGACTCTGGTTCTCGTTAAACTTGTGATAACTCTTGCCATTCACTTCCAACTCGTACGAGTAGCTGAACCCACCGACTGGCTCCACCTGCAAGTGAAGCGAGAGATTCTTTACTGCCGTCGCATTATATGTCACCTGGAGATCAAATTTAGTCACGAACGTGGCCCAGACTCTAGTCCAGACAAGACGACCGGAGACGCTACCTTGATGACGCACCGGGCGTTGCTCTTCCCCAGGAGGAATACTTCCGGGCCGACCAGCTTGAACATCCAGTCGCGACGCACAATCTCCTGGAACCAACAAACAAGACACCGCGAGTCAGACTTGCTCCGGCGTGACTTCCACCCTTTGGACGGACGCCGACTTGACTCACCTTGCCGTCGACGCGGATGACGCGCTTGCCCGTCGTCGTGCCGTGCTCGAACTCGACCGAGTGGACGCCGTCGCTCAGGGTCACCTCCCACGCGCCCACCAGGTCGCCGTGGAAGGGCATCGCGAGCAAGCTCAAGCCCAGTGGTATGTATCTTAGTTTTGCACCTGCACAGGTGCGAGGTTTTGTTTAGTGCGCTCGGCCCGAGCTTGTCCTGCGTACTACAGTAGTAGTGGCACCTTGGCCGGCCCGCGTTTGCGCCCTCACTGACGGGGGTGTTGTAGCTCGTGGCCCTGAGGTGTAGCGGACTCTCGCCCGCCCGCCTCCCGCTGCTGGAGAAGGAGAGAGGGGGTAGGGAAGGGGGCATTTGATGCGTGCATTCGTAAACACCAGGTTGCCAGGGGCAACATACTACGGGCCGCTACGCCCCGCCGCGACGGCCGCGCGGTGGCGGCACTCTAGCTGGCCAAACAGTACACGCGCACCGCTTCAAGTTCGTCCAGCGAAAGGGCTTGAAACATTGAGAAGCAGGTTGCGCTCGCTTGCGAAGGCAACGATCAAGCGAACTGCAGTGTCGAGTACTGTACTGCTGCGGAGGGCGGAGGAGGCAGTCCAACTAGGCCACTCTGAGCGCTGGCTTTGGGTGGGGGTGGTCCGACCCCGCCCCCCTGCTACACCCCCGCTGGCCTCCCGCGCTGGCAGTTTGTACAGCGTTAATCCTTCGCCGTGCGGTTTAGAGCTCGGCGCCGTGAATACGAATCGCAGCGTGGCAGTACCTTACGCAACGTGAATATAAATCGGCTCGAGCGCAGCCATGTTCGCCGTAAGCCCCCTCTAGAGCGCCGCCATAGCTTGGCGCGAGCGCTAGCCGAGGGAAGGCCCAGCTATCGCTGCCCCCAGGCGGAGAGGGCTGACTTTATTGCCGTGGTCCGTCCCCATTCGAACTTTAAACTTTTCGATCAGTGGAAAGGGGGGAGGGGAGTTGAAGGGAAGGGGTGAGGGTGAGTCTTGGCGCACCACGGCGTTTACTTACGACTTTGGGAAACTGGCAGACATCTTGTACCTTGCTTTCCCGCCCGACTTCGCTTCGCGCCACACCAAGCAGTCGCGTCTGTTCTTGCCCGACTTTCCATCAAATTCTTCTCTCTCATCCGGGATGCAAGGGAATTTCTTCAGTCTGGTCTGCCGCAGCTCTGCAGGCTCCGCTTGCTCGTATCTCACCGTTCCGCCCCCGGTACACGGCCTCCCCATCACTGTTCCCCGCTCTCCCTCCCTCTCCGCCCCTGTCCCCC